ACGTCTATAGATGATGGCAGATCAAGTCTTTACTTCCTCACATAACTCCTACCTCCTCTTTTTCCAAAGGAACGTAGGTTTAGATGATGGAAACAAATGCATTCCCATTTTGCATATTTTATTCGGGGTCACCATGTATTTCATTTTCTACTTCTCACTAGGTTGAGGAGTGGAGGATGTATAGCTTCTTTCAATCAAAATTAAAAATTCATTCTATTTTACCAAATGGCACTTTACACGGCAGATCTTTTGACATGTGATTCGATTGATTGACTTCATTTTCTTTCCATGTTGCATTACCTACCTACTTAGGGACTATCAAGAAAGTACCTAGGTAGACATCGTTCGACTTAATGTTACATCTGGGAAATTAATCACCCTAGGAAATAATGCTGTCGAGCCGTTTCACTTCATGATTATCCTCACCCACCATCCTCACCATCTGGAAGTTCAGACGAAGTAAATGTCACCACCTCCTTCGCTTCAGATCAAGACACCACGGATGTGTCATTAGGCGAAGTCCTCCGTGTTTCACAAAATCACAGGTAAGAGTAACCGCCCTCTCGTCTGATGTCGCATTGTGTTCATCTCTATAAGTTGAGATGATTCCGGCGAGACTTGTACTGTAAGCTTCATATTTTTATTCATTTTCTGAGCGCTGGTCGACTTTGAATTTGTAGATTCGAATTTTAATTTTCATTTCGTAATTCTTGCTGTTTTGCTGATTTAGTTGGGTGCTTATTACATACATTCTACAACATATTACCTTCTACAGTCATGAAGACATCAGCTATTGTACTTCTCGCCATTCTCGGCATGACATCTGCTTCCGTCCTCAGCACTACGAACGTCGCCACCGTTCTCGCCGGCGTAACAGCTCCATCCTCTCTCACCATACCGGCCGATGCTATGGCAGCTATCGCTAAGCTTGGCACTGGCGGTGCAAATGCAGCTTCATTGACGGCTGCCGAAACTGCTGCCATCAGCGCTTGTACAGATGCTGGCCGAGCGAACAACACAGCTTCAAAGGCCAACCTCAATGATGGAACTGGAAGTGCTGGAGCTATTGCTTTGTATGTTTGAATTTTCGCATCATCCTTCTGGATGATTTGAGGAGGAGTTGTGAAAAACATGATTCTAACGTCAGCATAGTGTAACGAATAAAGTCACGACTCACGCGTGCGAAACTGCAGGTCAACAAATAGCACTGGTTACTTCAGGGACGGCGGCAAGTGATACAGACGTTAATCTTTTGATATCAAATGTGGGAGTTCTGAATGTAAACACTAAGGCTGCGGGGATTACTTCGAAGCGTGCGGTGGCGTTTACGAGTTAAAGGTTTTTTTTGCAGGAATTACGATAATAAACACTATTTCCTATCTCGAGCTTTAAAGATCAAATTTAAAAACGTTTTATGAGTATCATTTATCTATTCTTTCGTGCTTCATCTATTTAATTTCGAAGATCTTACAATTGGCATCAGTCGCCAGGACTTTTTGCCGAGATCGGGAAACCCCACTTCTCGAGCGCCGGCGGGGTATCAAGAACGTGCCGGCAACTCAAGAAGATAAGAAATGTAATTCATTGCTATCGATTAATGACCAAGTACTTCTAATCACTGATATACCAGATCCTTTTAACTTCTCTTCTCTCTCCTATTATTTTCTTTCCTGAAATACTCTTTAGAATCTGAAATAAACAACTACTATTCTTTTGCCTCTTGCCACAACAATGGGCGAAATACAACATCTAGTAACAGACCAACACTACAAGGAAATAGCCACAATTGCCCAAAAACGTCGAGCTGATGCTTTACCTGAAGAATATCTTCTCTCTGGAGAAGTCTTAAAGAACCTTCCACGAAATGTTACCGAGGTTCCAAGATCGTCTGGTCATTTCACCTCTGAGGAATTAGAAGTTATTGAAGCAAGTGCGGAAGATATACTTCATAAAATAAGAGAGAGGATATGGACATCGGTAGAAGTTATCAAGGCATTTTCTAAAGCTGCTGTTGTTGCTCATCAATTGGTTGGTTATCTCATACATCCGAAAACAAACAAAGACGCCAATTGACCATGATCACAGACAAATTGTTTAACGGAAATTCTCATTCCTGAAGCTATCAAACGGGCCGAATTTTTGGATGATTATCTCGCCAAAAATGGTGATGTAATAGGTCCACTCCATGGTCTTCCAATATCTCTCAAAGATTGCTTCATAACACCACCCCATCCATCTTCTATTGGTATGGCATGTTATGCCAATGTTCCCACCAATCCAGAAGATGAAACTGTTTTGGTGTCTCTCTTAGCAAAACTTGGAGCCGTTTTTTATGTAAAGACTGCAGTACCGGTTGCAATGATGATGATGGAGACAATTTCGAATGTATGGGGTGAAACGAATGGTGCATATCATACAGGCACCACTTCAGGAGGAAGTTCGGGAGGTGAAGGTGTACTTTTGGCGATGAGAGGTAGTCCGTTGGGAATCGGAACGGATATTGGAGGGAGTATTCGGATTCCAAGTGCTTTTAACGGTCTTTTTGGATTGAAACCTACGTATGTACACATGATATCTCTTCGCAAAGACAGAAAATATTGACAATACATCAACAGTTTCGGAAGATTTCCCATCTATGGTACTAAATCAGGTATATCGGGACAAGATTTCATCTACTCAAATAATGGCCCCATGTCCAAATCCCTCTCATCCCTTCAACTATACTGTAAAGCCGTTCTATCCACCTCTCTTTCACCCTGGCTATACGATCCCAAATGTCTCCCCATTCCCTGGCGAGAAAACACCATCCAACCTCCCGGCCGCAAACTCCGCGTTGGAATCATCTCCGACAACGACGGTGAAATCAGTGTTCATCCACCTATTGCCCGCGGCTTGGCGCTCACCAAAAAAGCCCTCGAAGCAGCCGGCCACGAAGTATTCGAATGGGAACCATTAGATCACCCGGAAATGGCAAAAGAAATGAATAATTCCTTCTACACTCTCGGCGGTGCCGCAATCCTCGAACTGACGCGCAAACACGACGAGCCGGTCTTCGAAAGCATGAAAAACTACGAATTTGCCTATGATCAGGGCGAACATGGAACATTGGGACCGACAAAATTACGAGAAATGATCACGCGTAGAAATGCTTTTCAAAAAGCATATCTAGATCGATGGACTCGTACTGGAGCTGATGGGAAAGGAGTTATGGATGCGATTATCATGCCTGCGAGTCCTTGGACGGCTCCTAGACTGGGGATCACGCAGACGGAGATTTTTTGTGTGAATTATACGGGGGTGTGGAATTTGTTGGATTATCCGGCGTGTACGTTTCCGGTGACGTTTGCGGATAAGGAGGTGGATGGGAAGAGAGGGGGGGAGTGGAAGGGGTTGAATAGGAAAGATGAGTTGCTGCAGAGGGATTATGAGGAGGAGTTTTATCATGGGACGCCCGTGGTGTTGCAGTGTGTGGGGAGGAGGTTGGAGGATGAGAAGGTATTGGAGATGGTGGGGGTGATTGGTGAGGCGTTGAGAGGGCTTGAGGGATGAGGGAAGGGAAAGTTGTATGGGGATAGAGATAGTTAGATAAAAAATCTAGATTGGCTGAAGAATTAACGCCTTACATCTAAACCGAATTTACGTTTCCAAACTAGCTACTCAACGATGTTGCAAAAATTCATATGGAATTTCATCATCTTCATTAAATCCATGCCCGACTGAAGATACGAACATATAGATGGTGACCATCCATGGACATCACCAGTAAGCAGCTCAGCTCCTCTTTCCTCGCGAAAAAGATGATCATACACTGAACCACTACTACCTATGCAATCGTAGCAAAACAGGAAGACACACCAGCAACACCTAACAAATCTCTCAAACGCTACACGGGAAGAAATCACATAATTTGGAAACGGGAAAGAGTGTTTTGATTAGAACTTTATGTTCCTGATTTTTGGGGGGTTTTCTATTTTCTACTTTTTTTCTAATTCCTTTTCATCCTTTTTTGATTATTTATTTCATCTTTTTTTATTCAAACTATCCTTTTCCTATTTCTGAGGGGTATATTTTCCTTTTCCTTTTTTTGCTACTTCAGGATTCCCTTCTTTGCCTACTTTATGATTCCCTTCGCTAGGAAGGAGCGGAATCGTACTGTAGACACAAACTTCCAATGCTGAATCAAGCCATTCGGGAAACCTGTTTGACGAGCCACAATGCATTGTGTGATAGTTGACTCTGTCGCGGAGTGACGCTGAAAATTTTTAGGGATCGAATAGTTTCAATTGATGTTGTAAACTATGAAGAAAGAAGAGAGCGAAGCTATACAAAGAATCTGTATGTATACTCTCCTCCTTAGCCTCTAGTCACGTGCACTCCTGACATTTTCCTACTTTGTGATTTCCTTTTTTATTCCTGCTTTATGATTTCCTCATTGCGAGGTATCATATCACAGTGGACATCATAGTGGATCTTGAATTGCTTGGCTTCAAGTTCAGTTGGCTGGCACGGCTGGCTGTCTATACTCCGTCTCAAGTCCGTCTCGACTCTTGACTCTCGAGGCGTGAATATACAGAAATGATACATTCGCATTCGACCATCCGAAGTATCCACATTCCGCAACAACAGCATGTAATCCCAACACGATTGGTATGCACATTCATCTTGCCCTCGGCTCAATACTTAGTCGCGGAACACGGCGGCGCAATCATATGCGTCGTCTGTTAATCGCAAGGCTGAGTGTTCGTATTCGTGTCCCTGGCGCTGGATATCTCGGCACGGAATTACTAGTACTCGCATTTGCGTTTCCGCTTTCTGTGGTAGCGAAGGATCTACTTATTGGTGCTGATTCAGCATTCGTTTCCAATCGGCGGGAGATTTTTCAGTCCGCCCAAACAAAAATCGTGTTTGGACCATTTTCTGTTGTTTTGCGCACGAATCTTCTTGTCTCTTATCTGATGCATGCGCTCTGCGAACTAGAAGATTTTCAATCTCTTCCAACTTCAGAAATCTTGTTCCGAATTGTTCTCTTTCTGCTTGGCTTCTCTTCTCTCTTCAAAGAAACGATCTATTGATTGTTGTGCCGTGGCCAAGCTGGACGCTTTTTCGTTCAAGCGTCTTTGAACTCGTACCATCCTTTCCTCTTCTTCGATGACCTGCTCTTCTCTTCGGCGCATCTTCTCTTCTCTTTCGTGCATCTCCTCTTCTCTTCGAAACAACGCTGCTGATTCTGCTTCTTGTAAAGCACTCTTCTCTCTCAGAGCTCGCTCTCTTAAACTCGCCGCAATATTTTTTTGGATCCATTCCTTTGCCTGTCGATCAACAGTTTCTTCTTTTCCGGCCACTTCTTTCAATCTCTCTTCCAATCTCCCATTCAATATACGAAATTGATTTTCAAGCTCTTCCTTCCTCTTACTCAACTCAGCAATCTCCCTTTCAAGTGCCATTCTTTCCTTGAGAACATCTGTTTTCATCTTCCCCTCTTCTGGGGCTTTTCTCTCCAAATCTGGCAACTTGGACGCGGCGACTCTGTTCGATTGATCGAGCTCTGCTCCTTGACTTTCGTTTATCTTGAACTGCTCGATCCGTTCCAAAACCGCAGCCTTAAATTTATCAGCTGCAGACTTTCTACGTAACTCATCAATTTCGTTCGGAACTTTTGGCACGATTCTGCGCGACGTTGAGTTGGCAGACGACAAAGAACTGAATGCCGCGGTTTCCTGAGGGACAGGGGCGAATCGAAAGTCACGATTGGGTGTGTGGACCGGAAGTCTAGTGGTTATGAAGTCACCGTTAGGGGCGTAGCGGCCGAGGAGTTCATAGGCGCTGGGCGGCTCTGGGTACATGTAATAATCATCTAGAGCGTTTCTTTCTCGCATTTTGAGTCAGAATAGAACGTATACGATCAGAAATGAAAGTAATGAGTATATTTGGATTTGCAAGTGATAATATAAGTTTTAGGTGTGGAGGTAGATGTAATGTGTCTAGGGATGTAGAGTGAACGGTAGGATGAAGTTGAAATAGAATAGATATGATTAGAATTAAAAGGTAAATAAGTGTATTCTCAGATTTTAGAGCAATAGTGATATGATATCTAGAAGTATGTGTGTATGTGTGTAAGAAGTAATGAGTGTAAATAAGAAGCGGTAAGTATGTGAGTAGAAGCGAAAGTATTACAAAAATCTGTTATCCACTTTTACTCCGGTTGATGCGAAGGGCGTTTGAAAGCTCTGAGCAAGAGATTGTCGAAGTAGATAGAATTTGGTGTACACGAAGAATTGATAATGAAGGAGAAGAAAAAAGAATTAGAGGAATGTGGGAGAGACATGCATTTTTATAGGGTTTCAGCTTTTGGAGCTAGTGATATCTCAAAGCTACTGACGAAAAATAATCAAGATAGGAAATCATATCCAGCAATCATAGCCTTCGATGATGGCGTCAGATTTGCACTTTAGTCGTATAAGGAAAGGCGAAGTTTTGTTACATCATGATATTTGAACGTCGAACTAGACCTGAAATCACAAAGTGGTAAAGTGACCAATCACGTATCGATACCAGTCGATCTAAAGTTGAAACTTCATACAGTGGTGGAGCTCTGATAGGAGAAACCTTGGAAGTAACATGGTAAAGTATAATTTAGTCGACGACGAGTTGAGCAAGAAGGTGTCGCGCCTCTTGGCATTCAATAATTCCGACTAATTAACATATCAGATCGAAGTGTTCAACGTATCAGATCATCAATCGATAATACCACTCTTCTCTGACAGATTATTCAGTAGATCGGCGGTTTGGAGTCAGATGATGAACAACTTTCACCTGGAGAGTACGAGGCAAAATGGCGAAGTGCAATAAATCCCAATAGCTTTTGAGGAAAAATGGGCAGATGAATTTCACATGAGTTGACTATCTATCTAGTAGAATCGCAGTGCACCATCAAATATTAACGACGTTTTCAAGATTTAGACGCGTCTAGACTCGACCGTTGTCTCCGAAGGAAAAGCTTAGCGGGGTACTTTATCGCGCTACTTCAAACTACGAAGCTTTAAAACAATTTCGCAACGTCATTGACCAATCAATATGCATTGTTTTTCGAATACGCATGCCGAGACTTGGTGAATAGACAGATATGTGTTAACACTTGAAGGCATACGAAGTATACGGCTGATTGAAAGATGCGTGTACCCCACTTGGGACATTATAGCTTCAACGTTGTCGATGTCTAACTTTTTGACATATCGAGATTTGCAATAACTAAAATAGAATTTGTACCCTTTTGTTTATGGTGTTATCTATGTCAAATCATGATGTGTTAACATGGTATCTTTCTGCGATTTCGTGGTATGACGTGAGCATTTATTTGATCGAGAGAGAAAGGTGTGGTTACCCCTATAAGGTTACCAAAGTTGAACACTAAATTCAAACTGAACTTATGCAGATTAAACGACGAAAGCTTCATAGCTTGAGCTTCGTTGTATCGAAGTGAGCATTTGATTTGTATTGGCTTCTGTCATATAAATGAAAAGTAAATGCATACATTGGAGCTATGTCGTTGTCCTGAATTACCTAGTGTGTGAAATAAACGCGCAATACAATATTATCGACCACAACGGAGGACTGATAGCCGATGTCCGATGGATTCGCCCCACATTTTGAGCCCACAAATGGATACAATAGGAACCACAATGGCTTGAGCTTGAGTAATAGGAATATATAACAACACAAAATACAATCTTTCAGCAAATCAAGCAAACAGCTTAATAAGCTACCTAGCTTCTGTGGTCCAATGGTTAGGATTCCACCCTTCCAAGGTGGAGGTTCGTGTTCGATTCACGGCAGTTGCAAAATCTTTTGCCTTTTGTATGTGTTTTAAGCTTTTATATGGTATATGGAATGGAGGATACGCTGATAGGAGTTCGTCTCGCTACCTTTTCAGGGATTCTTTTTTCTTCTCCGTTTTGCGACAAGGTACATTTCTTTTTTCGGAGATATCTTGTATACTTCATCAGTAGGCTGAGTACCAAGAAAGTAGGTAAAAAGTATTAGCAAGTTTGGTTGAAAGCCGGGTGTATTCAACTTTCCATACTTTTACCTTTTTGATAATCTTACTTTTTTTTGATTGCTAGTACAAGGGATATCTTGATTTCTTTTTTCTATTGGTGATGTGAGGTTCAGCTTCGATTCCATGGTGGAACAATCGGCAGTGTAATGTCAATACTGTATTAGCAGTATTAATACATAAGTGTGTGGTCTTTGGATTGTGGCTAGTAAACACAGTTTTCATTATATTTTCCAGCAATGTCAAACGACTTCTTCCTAGCCTCCCCTCTCCACTTCACTTGGCACATCATCTAATGAGTGTGCAGGTTTCCTTGAGTAATCCGAGGTTTTAGATAGCAATACCACAAGTAAGAAGTTCCAATAGAATGATCATTCCGACCAATGGAGAAGAAGGGCTTTACAAGGAGAATTACTGCCTTGGTTTTACAAGCTTCTTGTCTATGGTTTCTCCAATGCCCATACTTATTCCCCATGGACTCCAAGACGAAAATCACAAAAAAATCAACGAGTCAGTGACGATGAGTATCCAGGCGCCATAAGATAAAGTATCAATATTGTCAAAACTAGCTAATACTACTAACCAATCCAATATTCCAAACACATACCAAATCATAGATCGAAATACATACTAAGCAGTTCCCTCCCTAAAAGCAGCCGCAATACTAAATTGTCCCTTGCCTCGTACTTTCCCACCTTCTCCAGCTGGATATCTAGCCTCATATCTGAGCGCTCTCCCTTCGACTTTGGCCACTAATTCATATTCAACTCTATAATGTTCCTTTCCCCCCAAGCTGTCTTCTGGGTATACAGGTGTGATGATGCCTTTGTCGCGGAGAAACGTCATGTCTACGATGATGCGGCCGGCGATTTGTGCGTCTATTTTGTGTCAGTATGACATAATGATATAATTCACGTGAAAATTTATGGAAAATTACCAGCATTTTTAAGATTCCTGCGACTGTAGTGAGATTCTGTAGCGGTATCGGAAACATAGAGAATCTCTTCACAGAGGAATTTCTTTTCGTCGATTGGAAAGGTGTGATAGGTAGGAAATGGAAAAAATTGATGGTCTGGACGGATTGAGTTTCCCTATTGATTGTCAGGATGAACGTCAAAAACATTAATGACTTAATATATTACCTTGACCATGAAGTAATCAATAGTGGCTACATATTTTTCACCATCCAGTTCACTCTCATCGGGCCTGACTCTTTCATGCCCGGGATATATTCGAGGTTGCCATGGCTCATGGCGGAGAAAACCGTAGCTTGATTGGGAAATTCTATCTGGTCCATTTTTCTTATCAAGAGCACGAAGAACAGCACCCGATGCTACAGCTGTAATGCTTTGAAACAGTTAGTTTGTTGAGCAAGATAAAAGATACGAATCTCACCATTTATGCCTATCTGCTACTAATTCGATATTTAATTTGAGTTTACCAGATATCTCTGCAAGCCAGTTTTTGAGATAGCTTCTCAAGGAAGGAGAGCCACCAAATCCACCAACAAGGAATACTTTCTTTGAATGCTCAGTAAGATAATCACTGGGTTGCTTTTAGTGGTCTTGGGACATACCTTGACCTCAAGTTTTTTTTCCACAGCTTGTTGAATCTGGTTCTCCAGCAAATTTGAGACACGCCCAAGAAGAGGAAAGAAAATATCTTTATAATCACTCCTGAGACCACGTTAGTGAATATTTTGGTCAACCGTGGGCGGGTTACACATACAAAGTCATGTGTAAATAGTTGGCCTCGAAACGCTTTTCCGCTAGACCAACACGATTCATCCGTTCATCACCACGTAAGCCAGCTATATAAACCCTATGACCACACCTCTTCATAACATTGACTCGTCGCTTATAGTCATTCTCAAAGTCTGGTATCAATCGATTGACAATTGACTCAAGGGTATCGCCATTCTTAAAGAGATAATCTTCGTCTTGGAGGCGATTAAGTAACATGTCTTTATAATTATCATTGAGATAGCTGGAACCGCAATTGTCCCCTAAGATCACAAATCAACGTTACCGAATCGTTAAAAAGAACTGCTCGAACTAACCAGCGGGCTGGATTTTTTCATCCTGCAGACGTAGTGGGTATCGATTGCTGACTCCATATGTGACGACATCGACAGTTCCACCGCCGCAGTCAGCGATAATGAAAGTCTCACCAAGCTATACGATTATTAGCTAAGGGATTGAAAATTTGCCAACAAGACCTCACAGATACATCCTCTGAACTTTCCAAGAGAAAAGTAGCGGCAGATTCAGGCTCAGAGATGAGGAAGATGTTGTCCGCAGTTGTAACCCAAGAATTTCCGAAGGTAGTCGCCTGAATGGCTGCCTTGACAGACGTTTGAAGCACACGTGAAGCTTCTGGGGACCAGATAGTAGGTACAGTCATGACGAAATCCACAGGCGTTTGATCAGTGAACCCATGGAGATTTTTCAATTGTTCTTTGGTATGCTGTAATACCTTCACGATATAATCCGAGATTGGATCAACAGCATCCCACATATCAGACTCGGTTTTGGATCGTTTACCATGTCTTCGTATGGTGCCTTCCTTGAGAAGGCCAGTTAATGTGCTTCGAAGACCCTTTCGATCTTCATTAGTATACTCAGTTTCCACTAACATGAGTTTAGCTCTCTTCACGAGACGTCTCTGACTTCGTGTTGAGTTCGCCTTGTACATCTGATATGGCACGCCATACCCCCAAAGAAAATCTACCGAAAGCTCATCTTCCATTTCCGAATCCTCGGGCTCATTGATGGTGTCCCCACCTGCTCCACTGAGGAGCAATGGATGTTGTCCCTGAGATAAATCGAATAAATTCTCATCAAATATTTCATCTTCATCGTTCCGATGCCGCTCGACCGGCTCTGGTGAGTACCAACTCTCTGTTGGAACTTGCTTCCTCTGGCCATCTTCTACATCGCTTGGCCAGTTGATCACACTCAGAACATCATTAGCAGAGCCTTTCATATTACCACAGTTAATTGAAACAATGCTGTAAGAGACAGATGTGAATGTGGTTCCATAGTCTAAACCGACAACAACTTTATCTGTTGGGGTGATGAGGTGTAATCGCATGTTGGAACTCCGCACCGATATAGCAGTGCTTGGGGTCGGAGAATGCGTCTTACTGTTACCTTGAATTTGTGACTTGCCTCCACGTCGAGCTGAAACTGTCTGTCTGGAGACATTGCGATTCTTAGATCCAAAAGGGCCTCCTCTTGTTGCCATGTTTTTTGACATTTCAAAGGTTTCGAAAATTTGACTTTTGGCCCGTAGAAGTGTAAGGATGTATAGTCAAGCTTTGAATGATGCCTCTAAAATAGAGACGCGGGTTAATGAGAGGGGTATGCGCCTGATGTGAGTTTGTTATCTTCATACCTTGGAACAAGGCTGATAGAGCGGAAGTCTGCCGCGGATTTGACTATGCAAGTTCTTAGGCCTCGTTTTGAAAAAACAAACAGAAGTGATATATCATCAGCTGCGATTCCTATTGGATGTCAGTATCTTGCAGAATGATTCGTAAAAGATACTTGATAAGGCATATCTCCAGGGTAACAGGGAAGTAGGCTGCCTTGAATGCAAAAGGAACATACCTCACGAGATCATTCAAGAGAAGAAGGAAGCATCATTTTATCCTTGGAGCACAAAATGTGGGGGCAGGGTATGTGCTGGAGAGGCAGGGGCATGATCGGTTCTGGTACATCTTTTCGGATTATATCACCTGCTTATGCCCATTGGGTGTTGGTGCGACTCGAACAGCAAACTTGAACATTAGGTTGAATTTTTCGTTATGAGCAAACGCATAGAAACTATCCATGCAAACAGTCCAAGGCGGGAAAAGTGATCTGATAGGACGCTCGGATGCAAAATGGGTTGCTGCAAGAGGGACGCTACATCTTTCAGGTATGACGAAAAACCCCAGTACTTATTTCTATCCAAAATTCTATCAGATCCACAATATTTAGAGAATTACAAACGACCGACAATGAGAATGCGCTTGGTGGCTGGAATTTATGCAAGCATCGGGCTTATCTGTCCGCATATTCCTCAATCCCCCATCACGAAATTTCAAACATTCCCAGATTGTTCAAATATTGGGTACGATACCAAATATGACGCCCTTGATCTGGAACAAGGAGGATGATATTGAGTTGCTTGCTTGGATTGACTTTTGCAAGCTGCAGAAAGTGGGAACCAAAGAAGACACGCTCGACTACATGATTGAGCACTCCCGCTTCACCAGTCGCGATGCAGTGAAGGAACATCTAAGCGAGCTATGGGAAAGATATGGTGATCAGAGTGAGGACTCGGATCAAACAATGTCCCTAGTTGATATAATAAGCAATGGATCTGCTTACATGACCAAGCTCCCAGGCGAGATGCGCGAGAGCATAAGAACGAAAGTTGACGGCAATTCCAGCGATTCACTAATGCTGCTCATCATTTCTAAAATGGGGGATCATAGAAAACAGAAGAAAGCCACGAAAAACTCGGGGGACCCCCCTTCAAGGGAGGAGCATGAGAGGGGGCTAAAGCGTGGCAAGAAGGCCGAGAGAGCAGACGAGGATCTCCCACCTTCCAAAAAGCCTCGCTCGAGCAAAGTATGTACTTTTCTTGTCATTAGCACAAAACGTTAATTGATCTAGTCCATAGGATGAAATGCCTGAAAATACGGATGAAGCTGATATTGTGAATGGAGTTGTAAAACCCCGATTGCCAACCCAAAAACCGGCAACCGCTTCGACCGAAGCTCCAGTTTGCAATGGCGAAGAGCTCACAATAGCCAAGTCTCAAGCCCTCAAGTATAATCTGCTAGCCCAAACGGCAAATGGAGATAGCTGGCTAAAGCGTCTGAAGTCATTGGAAAATAAACATAAACAAGAGATAGCTCAAATGCAAGAGCTTTGGCAAGCAGAGTCCGAGAAGCTCAGCATAATGGAAGCCGAGGCCCAAGGAACCATCAGAGATTTGAGGGCACAATTAAAACACCTTAATGAGGCACGAAGGGCTCGTCAAGAGGAGGAACAAAGAGCTTTAGGAAGCGGTGCCTATGTTTCATTAGAAGCCCGACAATTTGAAGACCTTGAGGAAATCTACCGATTGACCAAAGAAAATAGAGAAATGCACAAGTTCTCTGAGTTTGCCGATTTAGATTTACCAGGAAGCCTAAATATAGGGCACGAAACGATAGACGATGCAATGGATCAAATACAATTTGAACTCTCCTCCATCTCTTGTCACCACATCAATACTCCGCAGCTTTTTCCTAAGATATTTTCAATGCCAAGGGACTTGCGTAACCTTATAGATTCGGCTTTCAATAGTGACATCGAAACCGCCATTGGGAGAAATGAAGTCGAAGTCATTACAAAGAAATTCGGTGCTCAAGTCTGCATCAGAGCTCTTGTATTGGCTGCGCTGAGAGATTGGGTTTTTATGTCAAAGTTTCCTAATTTCGCCCCTTCAAACCCTCGCATTCTATCGAGTTATAGGCACATCATCTCCGGTTTAGGTGAGCGTCCCGCCATTAATGATAATATAGAAAATTAACTTTATAGGCGGGGAAAGCAAGCTTTCTAGCTTGGATATAGCAGCTCATCGCGCCATTATCGAAGGAAAATGGCTCAAAGAAGAATCGATACCCAAAAGAGCCACAGATCTAGCGGCCAGGTTCTCTGATACAGTCGCTCCCTTGTTCGCAAGCACACCATGCAATGCGGAATATGGATTGTTCCACACGTGGGGTGAGCATTCAGAATGTTGGAAAGACAGGCGAGCACATCTGCAAGAAATATTCCAGACTGCATTAACCTTGAAAGCCGATTCTGTTGTAACAAAGTCCCGGTATGGATTTTCAATCTACCCACCAGGTACAACATTTGTTAGGGATGAAACCGATGTGAAAGGAACAAGCAGGCCTAAAAGTGGCAGTAGTTGGATACATGCATCATTTCACATCTACGACGCTGTGATTATTGGCAATAGCAACCAGAGCACGTTAGTGCAAACGGAAAATTTCGTCAAGGTATCCGAAGCAAGAACTAGTGCAAAGTACAGCAAGGATTTGCTGTTCCCCAAGAGATCGCCTGAAGTTGTTTCCAGTCGTGTCACAGAGGTCACGGAAACTCCGATTCCCAAACACAAAAGTACGGATCAATCAAAAGCTATCGTAGGAGCTGAAGCCTGCCTAATACCACCGGTTCCAGAAAGTAATGTTGAAAGTTTGAAAGCACAAAGATCCGCTGGAGCAGGAGATGATGCGGAACCTGACCATAGTGAAGATTCACCCCTTCCGCGATGCGAAGAATGTGGCAAAGAGTTCCCGGCAATAGCTCAACTTCGTAGGCACGAAAAGAACAGTGAGCCGATTTTTGATCTTTTGTTACAAGCTTTATGGTAACTTCAAATAGGAAAATGCACAGAGTGCCCCGAGTGCGGTAGAAGATTTGCCCGCGTCACTACTTTACAGAATCACCAAAAGGCCGAGCATAGCGAATATCGTGCGCCCAGACCTGAGGAATTCCCCATCGAGCAGAGGCGGGCACACCCTGAACTGGGCACCTTAGTGAGCCAGGAAAAGAATCAATGCCATAAAAAGGTTGAAACTGCTGAAGCCAGAGATACCAGCCCGAATCATCAACGCAATAAAAATTGTACGGGAAACCAACTCATCAAGGCACCGCGAGCAGTCTCGGCTGTTGCGTCAAACGCTAGACCGGCACAAGCATGTCATGATAACCCCAGGCAGAAAATTCCCGTAGGTGAAATTGTTAACGCTAGGCCAAAATGTGATCTTTGTGGTAACGCGTTCTCGAGCAAGGAGAGTCTACAGCGCCATGTTAGACATAGTAAGTTCCACGCTCCATGGATCTAACCAGTATGTTGCTAACATAAATTGCTAGATACCTGCTCACTCGAATGTCCAGAGTGCAAGGAAAAGTTTGCAAGCCTCGAAGAAAGACGTTACCACCAGCGCAGGGAGCACAAGTCGGTAGAAAAAAAGCCAAAAGATCTAACAATACCTGAACCACAAAGTCCATCGACTCCTCTCAAAGAAAGCGACAAATCGCAGATTTCAAATCAGACGAGAACTCCGTCCTCGAATAACATTCAAAGACACGACATAGGTATGTCTTCCACCCTTCCACATCAATATCTTCATTGCAATACAACGGCTGATAATCTGAAAGATGGTCAGCCTCGCTATAAGAAAACCCCACGCAGAGAGACCGAGGATTCAGATGCTGATGACATGCTTTCCCCTTCGGAAACGGTGAAAACAAAACGTGCTCAAAGGAGAAGATCTACTAGATCTTCAGATAGACGAGCTGAAGTGAGGATAATTGATAGCCAGGAAGCATTAGTCCGATCCCGCGGAAAGCGAAGTAAGACTCCAGCAATAGACGAATGATGAAGGTGTATTACAATCTTGAAGGACCGGTGCTTTAAGGGTGTGTAATTTTCTATTGCCTTTTGTGGAATAGAGAATGGGATATCGGCAAAATGGGGATGAGATCCAGTTGGAGCTTCGAAAGAATTGGTCATGTTGTGTATCTAAAAGGGAGGAAGAAAACTTTGTACCGACGGAGAAGGAGAACAGGAATAACGGCCATTCATTTTTGTTACCTGAATTGTATCATTACACACAAATTCAGAAATTTCGTTATAAACTCCATTGATCTTTGAGTTTGAGGAAGTACGAGATATATCAAGGTGAAAGTGCGTGTGGCGTTTGTGGCGCATGGATAAGCCACCGGACATGAAACGGTCGTCCAGATTCGGAAGCAAGCTAGTAATTCTGTGAGCTTTTGAAGATGTGCTTGAACCTGACGCAGTGCAGCCTAGGAACAGTGCAGAAGCCAGGGCATTGTCAAGATATTGTGTTGTCCTCGGTGTAAGATATGAAAAATATCTCCGCTCCTATTGTAAGCATGCGTATAAGCGAAAAACTTAGAACTGCTCCGGACTCCTTTAGGAACTCATCGAGGAGTTAATCTGATTGGCCGTACAAGAAAATCTAAATGTTAATTGAACCAATGAGAGTGAGTTTCAATTTCGGACTGTAGGATTTGTTGATCTCATTGATTTCCCGACCAGAATGTTTCTGACCTTCTAGCCACAATGAGCAACTTGGTACACGCTATATCGAGATGAGTCGAATTATTTTCTGCTCCTTTCCCGTGAAACCCACAGGTGGCAAATCCATATTTAAACATGAACCCGTCTGTTCGAATAAACATTAACTGCAACCTTCCTCATTCAATCATTAAACAACATCCCGCAGATTTAGCGGCACCGCACTGTACATAATACACCTGTACCCCGCACTTAGAGCATTTCCCAGGTTGCTTAAGAATCCCATATATCTGGTCTGTTGCCACTTCCATCACTACAGTTTGAAAACATTGCTGTTCTTCATTCGCTCCACAATGTCCGATAATGAACCAAGTCGTCTTCGTACCGGGGAGTTGGAAATTGGCTACACAGAAGCAGTAGAGCGTCATGCAAAGAGACACGTCGTGGCACCCAAGCCTGTATCGCAACGCAAACTAGACTTCGAAAACGCAAGGCCGAGGTGGATGAGAGAAATGGCTGCGGAGGCTATGGGAGTGTTCTTTTTCGTGTAAGGTTGAAGAGACGGCTGGATGCAACATCAACTGACAGCCATCCATAGTTATCCGGGAATTGCATCATGTGCATCATTCTTTCTGAATCCTGGAGACCCAGGGCTAGGATCAGTCTTTCAAATTGGTTGGGCCTTTGCCATTGGTATTGCTTTCGCTATCATGTATGTTGAAATATGCCATCAGGATACGATTTACCATATCGTTTCAATCGCTGATTTGCAATAGAACTTGTGGAAGTACTTCTGGAGGACATTTCAATGCAGCAGTAACGATATCTTGTGCCGTTTGGCTAGGTGCACGTCTTCGTCGTCTCTTGTTGCATATCAACAGTTGCTAATCCGTCTCAGTTCCCTTGGAAAAAGGTTCCTCAATATATCTTCGCTCAAGTCTTCGGTTCTTTCATGGCAGCCATGCTTTTAGTTGGACAATACTATCCACAGCTGATGGAACTTGCTGCGGAGTATCGTGCTAAAGGCTTGAGTCTCAATTCACCAGGCGGGCCAGGAAGCATTCTTTGCTCTTTTCCTGGAGCATCACAATCATATGGATATTTGTTCTTCATTGAATTTTTCGCCGACGTCTTCGTGGTATGTGGCAAAGACTTTGCCAAACATTGAAGTATCTGTTAACACGTTCCAGGGAATTGTGATTTGGGCTTGCCTTGACCCTATGAATCCATTTGTGTCTGCATCTGCGGTACCTTGGGTTATTGGACTAGGTTATGGTAAGCATTTAATCCACAATTGCTTTCTTCGGATTTAATAGTTCTTGATTGTTGTACACTTGCTAACCTCTCTTAGCAACAATGATCTGGGGTTTTGCGGATGTAACGATAGAGCTTAATTCATCTCGTGACTTGGGCGCTCGCATCGTTGCAGCCATATTTTTTGGAGGCGATGCTTTCTCGCTCTATTCATTGATACCCATTCTCACGAGTATACCTGCCATGCTTTTTGGAACAGCATTGTATGAGATGATTCAACGCGATAGCTTTGGAGTTATAGCCAAGGGTCATAATGTACACGAGAAAGGAGAAGAGGGTATCATGCAACACTTATCCAAGAACGGTGCTCTTGGTGGAAGTGCCAGTACCTCGGGCATGAGTATAGACAGTGAAGTATGGGATAATGGGAGAAAGAATGATTCTGCTGTATGAACATTATAAAGGTCGATGAGGGACGGGTCTTGATCATCCCTAAAGCTATAATGAATAATGACAATGTATCTTAAATAATAAGAAAGATGCAATATATTTCCAGCCAATGTGCCATGTCTTGAGCATATGACTTTAGTCGTTGCTGAACTTGAAGAGGAAGTTCCGGCCTGAAACAATGCAGGAATGAAATAAATCATAAGCTCCCAGATTATCGTTCAATTGGGATCGATGGAATTATGTGAGGTTCTGAAGTTAAAGGGGTCTTTGATACCCGACCCATTGGATCGAGGTTGGTAGGATGAATGTTAGATAAACGTTAACCTTGTACAGTGCACTTCGTAGGTTCCAGAAAAAAAAGCGAGCACGTGATGAGTGTTTGCAGATTTGGCTGTAAACAGACAAGCGTATTATCTTTTGATAGTCCCGCTTCAGCTCCAGCAACTAGCCAATATCCAATTCTCGATTCATTATGTGTACGACCAAGACAATTACTTATTACACCTTGACGATCTTAAGATAGTGCAATACCTTGAACGATAATGGGAAGGCCTCCGATCTGATACCCGACAGATTGTCATTCATGTAAAACAGTATCATCGTCAATTTGTACCTCATTCGTTTCATATCTCTACAATACCTTTTATGACTAGGTACCCCTCCTTTTATCCCGCAACTTTGAACTGAATATATTCATTTACGACATCAACTCACTCAATATAATCCTTACCTTGGACATCTTTATCACCTACCACCTCGATATACAGCGACTACTTCCACTGAGTCTATACGCCCATTCAATTAGAAGATGATATAGAAACATCGATTTAATCTTTTCTCAATCTTTATAATATTTAAAAATTAATCTGCTACCATGTTTCCCAATCGATCCATCGAGGATATGTCGTCAAGTATGGATATCGTTGAACCCGAAACGGGGACTGAAGTGAACGACAAACGCGAAGAAGTCAATATTAGAAATACATCACGATCACCTTCAAAAGCTCGGTCACTATCAGATGGCGGTCAACCAGTACTTTCACCGTCTCCTAAATTCCGCGAACCAGAAAAGCCAGTTTCTAAAGATGATAGTTCCATCTCCGAAAGTCCGACAACACCAAGGCGACCTGCTGCATTTGCCCGAGGTCTTTCTTTGCAGATGCCACCAAAGGATTTTATGCCAGTAGGGTCTTCAGCATACATCAATCGAGTACCATTGTCACCAAAATTAGATCAATCACAAACATACGGGTCACCTACAAGTGTTTTGCCTAGACGATCTCGAGGTCTAGATTTTTCAAGAGCTGCAACGAACCTTCATCACTCCACACTTGCAGAGCAATCATCACCCGATTCATCACCTACAATTACTGGCAGAGCTATGAATATCCCGAATAGAAAGAATGGGTTAAACTTTACCAGCGCTGGGGAAGGTTCTTTATGGTCTCCCGCACCCAATACGGAAAGAATGATGGCATCCAACTCGCTTGGTAGTGTTAACATGATGGCCTCCGATGATTCTGAAAGTAGTTCCGATAATGATGATTTGATGGAATCAGACGACATCGACGACTCTATTATTACAACACCTCAAATTAGCAGAATGACGGCACCTTTCGGCGGAAGTTATAACCCAAGCCCTGGTAGCGCCTGGTCTGGATCATCTCCCGCGGTCAACAGTCTTATGAATTTCCAGTCAGCAAGATTAAGAAGTGGAAAGAGTCGTAAAGGATCGAGAAGTGGACCAATGGCTAGTCCAACCTCCAAATCACCTCCTACTATGCGCAATATCGAAAGCAATTACTTCAATAGACCAAGACCTGTGGATAATTTTCGTTCGAGGAGAGAAAGTATAAGCTGGGCTGCAAACCAATTACATATATCAGGGAGTGAGAGTGATGATGCTGGATTGAAATCCACTTTAGAAAATGTAGATGGTATGCCTAGTACACCCGGAAAAGATGGTCAACGAGGGGTCATTCGCAGAGTAGTGACCAGGAGGGGAAACATGCTAGTATGTTGTATAATACTTGTGAATTTACCTCCACTAACTCTCAATAGCCCAAAACAAAAGGATTCGCACGTATTCGAGCAGCTCTAGCAGAAGAGAGTGCTCCAGTCGAAACAGAAGTTCGTAGAGAAGCAGAAGTCGTCCGCCAAACCCGCGAAAGTGATATGGATCTCGAACCTTCCCGACATCCCTCTATATCAACAATAGATGCACGCTCATCACCGATAATGGGCCCAACACAGGACTCTCTGGAAGGCATACCCGAAGATGATATAATGGCCGATGCATCCAGTTCTCAACTATCTGGTAGCTTCAAACAACAAGTCATTCGCAATTCTAAAGGCAAAGAATTCTGGGATTCTTTTAGTGATGACAATAATCGCACACCACCTCCACCCAATTTCAATCATCGCGGTTCCACTTCTGGCATGAGTGAGGATTTATCATTAGAAGCTCACCTCTCCACGCCTCTTCATCTCCATCGAAGTAACTCTGATTCCTCTCCCTCTCGCTCCTCTACTCCTCAAGCATCCGAACCTATGCGTAAAATCACACATAAACGTCGTCGGGATGATGATCTCGATCCTACAAGTTTTAAGAGACGGGCGGTTAGTCCTGGTATGAGCGTACATAATAGTCCGGTAATGCAAAGTCCGATGCAAAGGGATCTGGCTCCTTGGGGCTCAAGACCAAATAGTAATGGGGAGCCTGGAAATGGAAAGAGTGGATTAGGGAATGGTACAGCTGGGATGGGAGGCAGAAGAATTGGGTTTCAGGGTATGGTAGACACTAATGATGGATTGATGAAAATGAGTATTGAATAATGGGTATATGGACTAGGGATACGGTTTCAAAATGGATTGAGCGCGGACATTTTGCTCATACAATGGCTGGTTTTGGGGTGTTGATGTTTTTATGGGATTCAATGGACGTAACTAGGGTTGGAAGGCGTACATATTTCTTGCACGGCAAATTCGAATATTCATTCTGGTGTAGGATAGGAGAATCTGCCCATAAGCGAAACTAGCGACGATTACCCGTGTGATTCAATCAAACTTTTACCCAATTCAATTTTTACTACCTGTGCAGTGTTAGTTTCAATGGTGGTGATTTATATGTGCATATATACGTACTTATCTCTTGTTGCAATTATCCGTTGACTGAATTGTTATCAGTAGCAAGATTTACAGAGGCATAAGTACGAGTGGGTAGGCTATGGGGACAACATGGTAGGTTGCATACTCTACCTGGCTGAAAATTGAGCGGTCTTGGGCTTCACAAAGGAGTTTATAGGTTTGAACCGCTGAAGCAGATACGCAACAGAATATATTTGAGATTTGTATAACGGTTGGTGATATGTTGGTGCAGGGTCTTCAGTGAGAGTGGAGGGTGGAAAGTAAGTAGGAAACCGGCGATCAGTCGAGCTGCTGAGAAGACAGTGTGTAAGAGATATGAAGCGGATGAGAGGTAGGCGATAGGAAATAACTCAGATATTTGGTATTGCAGGTGCAGATACTTGTATCTAAACACATAACGTGTACAAATTGGTTGCAGAGAGTTTAGAAGGATTTATAGGCTTGAGGCCCTGAAGCAGATGTGCAACAAAAAATTGAGGAAGTGAGGTGAGTAGGTTGTGATTGGTGGAAGCAAGGGAGGGGGGAAGTGTGGATTGAGTGAATGTGAGGCGAATAAAGGTGAGGGCGAGGGAGTGAATATGGTTTGTGGAGAATTAGATGTGAAGCTAGATGGGATAGAGCGATTGTTCAAGGGGATTGTTGGGAAGGGTATTTGTCATGTGTATTGGGTTGGGATGATGAGAAGGAAGATGGCGAGGAATGTATGAAGATTTATTGGAGTTTGTCCAATGTATGGAGATGACTTTCAGAGAACTTGGGAATGAGGATGCAGTTGGATATCTCAGAGCTAAATACATGCGGCAGATATGCAACAAATGAGTTTGAGAAGGTTGCATGTGGTGCGTAAGCGAAGGGAAAGGGCAAATGCGGCAGTGAGGAACAGAAGGATAGGTGTGATATTAAAATGACTTCTCTCTTGGCTTTTCATCTTTCAAGATCATTTTAAATATTTGCATGTCTTTTGTAGAAGTATATGCTTTCAACCACCAAGTTAGTCTATTATATTATTGTAAAGTCTTGATGGAAAGATGAGATACATTGATGTTGTCTTATTTTGATTGACTCTTCTTTTGTCAATTCACTTACCATCACAGTACCTTTCCCATCTTCGCTTCTCATCACCTGTCAGCCCTCAATCAATCTCCCCGTTTACCGCATTCATCACACCTTCATTATATCCTTCTTTTCTTTATTCTCCTATCTGCCTTTCATCCCGAATTTGCTCTTAATCACAAACATAGACCTCAAGCCAAATGATGAAGAAAGCTTGTTCAAGGAAAAGTTTGATTAAATTCAATACATTTAAGCTTTAAAAGGAGTACAACGGGAGAAAGCTTAGAAAGACGATTTTCTTCCTTCCGTTTGGTTCATGTATACGTAGCTTTCAACCTTTAAAATCGCCTATTAATGTCTGTGATGAAAGACCTTGAAACTGCAACTGAACTATAAATCACAAGCTCTCTAGAAACTTTGATCGAAATATATACTTAATTCTCATCCTCTGCTGCGCTTTTCACTTGCAAAAATGGCATGTATGTAGAGGTGATCCCCTGATTTTCTGAAGAGCTTCACCTTCATTTCTTTCCGTACTTTGGATATTAACTAACAACATTAAAGTAACTTCAAAGGGTAAAAACATCGCCCTGAAAGATGAGTGAGTTCTCGATTTGCTCTATTCAGACACAGCTGAATAAGTGAAACAGTAGTGACAGCGAGGAGCAGGTGACTGCATCCATTCTCTATGTTCTTTGCTAATTTGGAATTCAGCACATCTGGTGAAAAGTGGGTGCATTTTGCAAGTTCTTCCATTTCTGAGGGCCAACACTGATGGCTCAGCCCGTTGAATATTGAAACTTTGTAGGCACCTTTGTCGACCTTTTCCTGCCTATTGTTTTGAATACGCTTATGCTTCTGTCTAAGTTACTAACTCGGGTATAGTCTGAGGCGTATCGAGACGTTGTCAGTGCCTTCGTCCTGAGAAGAAGAAGAAATAGTTGGAGGGGTTGGGGTAAATGGATCGCCTTAGGGTTTCTAGCGTTGGTGCTTGACAAGTAAGTTATACAGCATACTTTAATCCATTCTAAGATCTCAACTCTTTACCAATCCAGCTCAAATATAGTTTACTTGGTGTGATCAGCCTGGGACTTGCCATCTGTTGGCATGCCAAAAAGTAGTTGGGGACAAGTCGCACAGTTGTGAATATCAAAATTATTGCTTTGAGGATCCTCGTGAAAGCAGTGCAGATACGAACTCGCAGCGGTGGGATAGATATGCCAATGACACCCAGTTGCTTCAATCTCAGCAGGACCAGTATAGGCGGATATTGTTTTGGCGGATTTGTCCATCTTGTGGTATATACATCCAGTGTCGGAGTTGTATACTTTCTGATAACACGAGTAGGTTCCAGAACTCTCACAAGAGGTCGAAAAGTTAAATCAACCGATCTGTATGTGTATATTACGTGATCCAAGGGCATAACCTGGCCTTTTGTTCTATAATGAGCATCAAAGTATATTTCAATCTTTCCTATATAACTGACCAGAGTAAGTGCCGATGTTGATCTAACATTGTATGGAAATCATTTCCAATTAGTTATAGAGAATGAGGTTCATTTGTAAAGCAAAATTCTATAACAAATCTCCATTCTGTTCATCTTCCTCTTCCTATTCATCATCATTCTCTTCATCATCTTCCTCTTTGTCGTCTTCCTCATCATCAATTTGCTTTTCTCCCTTGGCCTTTTGATGCTTCATGAACTTTCCTATCTCCAAATACAAATCTTCTTTTTCATTGTCTTTAAAAGAATCGAATTTTTCACTCTTCTTCATATGTTTTTAAACAAATTTGAATCAAAGTAATGAGCCTTTATTTGATGTTGATATTCTTCGAGTCAACATCTTTCCACCTCCTGTAACAAATCTCTTGGTCCCCTGATTGTTTTGATGACATTTACCCTCGCCAGGGCGCGCTTGCTTGTTCCCTTATCCGAAGGGGGTTTTCGTCTGTCCGGACTTTGAAGTGCGTAAACAAGTCAAGACAGACTGATTGGAGTAAAGCCTCCACACCCTAGCTACTATAAATCTGATCGCCTCCCCCCCCCGTGGCACTCTCCTCTCCCAGACCAACTCCCGTTCGATGCCCTCCTCATCCCCACCTGCCGTCCACCACTCTCCACACCAAGCATTAGCCCGCTCCATTTTACAACTTCATACATATATTTCAAAACCATTCTTCACCACAACAATAACACAACATCTTTGATGGTCTAACGGTCATGATTTCCGCTTGTCAATAACATTGCAAGTCGCGGGAGACCGGGGTTCGACTCCCCGTCAGAGAGTTCATTCTTCATAGAATTCCTTGAATCTCATGTTCAAATTCATTTTTGTTTGATTTTTCGATGCACAAAGGCTTTTTTTTGCGGACGGGAGGTTTGGCGTGTAGCGGACCCCACTACTACCCGACCGGAGTCTTTTTATTTTTCAGAGGTGGGGCTGACCTGAGTGAATGAGAGGGGCAAGATTTTGGGTTAATGATAGTGGTTAATTAGATAGTAAGGATGACGTTGATATCGAAAGATGCGTTGAGGAAGAGGAAGCGGAAGCGTAACGACTAGCGAGTTTGTGATCTGAGGGCTGTCATCTGCACATGCCGAAATGATTGGATCTTCTCGAGACTCTTGAGTCTCGATTGCTCTTTTGGGACGTAGACAATCAATAATACAGCCAATAAAACCATTCTAAAAATATATTTGAATTTACCTATTTTTTTCACACATGTAATACAAAATCCATGATTCATCGTTAGGATAGGATGAGATGGATGACTTCATACCATTATCGATTCTTGGCGATAGAAATCGTTATCAGGGCCTTGGCTTGCAGGATGTGGCTTTCGCTATCGTGGGTTCGAAGCACATGCGAATGATATGATATGAGATGATATAATGAAGTTTGGATATCGATGGAGGCATTTGACGTTTCGTATGAAGAATCAAGAAAAGCTTGCAGTGTACTCGTACAGGCAGTTAGTTCGCTTTACATGTGAAACTCATTTCCGCATCGCTTGATCTCATCATGATGGATCGTATGAAGAATGATTAAGTAACTGGGTTTGGATGATAAGATCATAGGTTGTACAACACATTCAATAACTGATTCTAGATCTTTGGATGTTGGATTCTAGATTCGAGAAGGGTGCAAAATGATATGATGTGATGTGAAGTGGTGATGTGATTTTGTGAGTATCCTTGCGACAACTTGCTTTTATATAGCAACTGATGTGCAGATGTGCAATTGAGGTATGTAACATGTAGGCTAGCATTTTGCAAGAACGCGTCAGTGTACAACCAAACAGTCTCAATTTTGGTTCAATTGCTCTTCCATGTGAAGATTATAATGGAACAGAGTGGTGATCTTTGAGATCTATGGGTGGGTTGATGTGTTGATGTGTTGATGTGTTCGTGTTTGAGTATGTGGATATGTTGGAGACTGGAGCGGTGCAGATGCATTAAAGAATGACACCGTCGCCGCTGTCCTTAGTCGAAAGATGAAGGCATCATCTCACGTCTAGATATCAGTGGAAGGAATTATTCCGTACAATCTAGCACATCGAGAATGTACGCATAGTGTTCATAGTCAAGCAAACCTGTATCGGTAGCGGTGAGTCTATTTCCCGATGTATTCCATATCAATTATTAGTTCTCAGATCCTCTCGTTCAATAATTATCCATCGGGAAATCTCGAAATCTCAGATATCATCAATGCCAGGTACGGATCCATAAATCCACAATCCAACCAGCAAAGTTCGAGCGAAAGAATATGCACCAATCATCATTCGAGATCCTTAATCTCGTATGGATTCTTCAGTCTTAGTTTTTTTTAAGGCCCGATACAAATTAATCTTACAATAAAGTGGCTCATGAGAAAAAGTGGTTACCCTTGAGCCTCATCATTTTTTGTCACGCAATTAGACCAACTCGTCTCGAGTTCGTAAACTTTTCAAGGGGCGGGAACAAGATCAGATTGTGACCCATGCATAATTGTGCCTTATCGCAGGATTTTCAAGAGAATCAAGAATTGAGAGAAGTCGAGGTCAAGGTTCCATATCAGATATATGTGGGTATTTTTCCATTGAGGCATTTTTGAAGTGACATTGGACTGTGACTTTGGAGGTTGATCCATCCATAATGGATTCTGTTTGATGTGTAGGATCCATAGAGCCCTAACCGGCCATTTGCATTTCTACGAGGTAAGTGTGGCAGCGGCACCGACCTAGGAAATGCGCAAATCCTACTCGAGTAGACATCTTTTCATGCGAAGTTGCGGAGTATATACGGCGTCGGTCTGTAATGATTAGAATGAGCGGCCTATTCTCGGTGGCGGAGCCCTCTAATGGTATCGATGAGAGGCGGCCATACCATATGCAGTGTCGGTTGTTTAACTTTTGCTAGATAAAGAACGAAACATGTGAGAAAGATTTGATGCAGGCGCTTCAGTCCGTGTCCACTGTCAAAGAAAGGTCAAATACCGGAACTTATCGAGCTTATCCAGATTTTTAGATTTTTTCTTAGAAAAACGTTCATAGTTTGTTGATCAGGGTTGGAACTTAGGTCGAAACAACACAGTAGCGTCGAATTAGAAGGATGCATCTGAATCATCCTGAATCAGAACCCGCTCTTTACGACTCATCCTTATCGAATAACGGAAAAGGAGATTGATGCTATCGGTACTCATTAGCGTTTATACCCTGTTTTCAACTACCCGTCCCTCACAACTGATGATTTCTGGTTACGCCGTAGAAGTTGTTATCATGTGGAAGTCATTCGACTTCTGAGATATCGCTCATGAGGTTTGATCATGCCATATCTAGGGGATGTCCTGTCTCTTATCAGATGCTCATACCTACCTGGCATTCGTCCCTCGCTCGAATCACCCCCTTTTCACGTGTCAAAGTAGAGCTAGTAGGTGCGTCAAGTTACATCGAGGTTCAGCACGTTTCGGAATGAGGTTGATCTGACCTGACTTTCATCAATACAGTAGATGCTGCAGCTGCAGCTGTTTTGACGGGTTACCTTCCAGAGTTTAGACCTTGCCCTGCTTCCTAGGTACTTACTACCGCAATACTACTATGCTAGGTAGATACTCCTATTAATATCCACCTTCCTGCAGTACCCGATGTCGAGTCTTCAAATGTTAAATCTCTTAGATGTACCCGGTACATATCCGAGGACCGGAAGAAAACTCGTTCAGCCTTGGGAATTATCCTGGGCTTAGTGTGCTGGGTAGCTAGGTTGGGTAGTTTTTATCATATTATCATTTGATAATCGAATATTTAACCAGTCGACCACCATCAGTCAGTCATATCACAGTTTGAGACGGTGACGGTAAGAACCTCGGAAGTCGAAGAAGTATATATAATTCAAATAGCATTCATCATCATCATCATCATCATCATCATCATTGCATACCAACTTGTGACAAGAGAAAGTCCGAATCTATATTTGTGTGTCTGTTTGATTGACAGTCTCCAATTTTTACGGATACGACCGTATCGGCACTTTGGAATCTTCTTGATACACCAACGAAAAGAAAAGGGAAAAAAAGTTCTCGAACATCAGCAAAAAAGTTTCTCCTAAGGTTTTCTCCTAAGAGGGTGACCCCCACTAGAAGATATCCACTTCATACCAAGAAACCGTAGCCCCTTCCGATTTGTGACGTGCGGAAGCGCCACTTTGATCTACTTCGTACCCACGCCTACCCAGCTTGACTGTGTGGATTTTCGTGAATGGCGCCTGAGCCACTGGATTATTGACTGGTCATTGGATTATTGAAGTGGGATTTGGATTTGGATGGAGAGAAGAGTACGCAAAAGAGTACCTCGATAGCGAAGAAAGGAGAGAGAAAGAGAGATTGCGACAAACATACTAGTAACAATAGGGTAAGGACGAAATCTTTGATATACAAAATACAAAGAAGGACTAGAGGAAAGATAACTAAAAGAAGAGGTCATAATTTGTGATTTCTTTTTTGAATCTTTTTTAAACCCATATGGTTATTGTTCTTTAATACATACCTGCGCAGTATATTGGCTGCAGAACAGAAAGAGCGATTCGCAACTAGCACTACTACTTTCACACATTTCCTTGGTAACTGCTTTGGAAAGGAAGTCGCCGATACGAGTGGAGTATAAGTATTTCTCAACATTCGGAGCTTACTCCTTCACAACTTTGCAACAACATATTAAGCACACGAAACGGTCGAGGGGTTCTCTGTTTCCCACTGACGCCAAATAACTCTTGAATCATCATTTTCTCATATAGAATACGACCAATATACGAGTTACTAGGACGTTATGCCTAATTTCTTTGGAGGCGTTACTGGAAGAGGTGTTTCGACACTTTTCGAGATACGGTATGTTACAATATGTCTACGATTTTGTTTTCCAATCATTTTCTGACATTTTGCAGTCTTGACGAAGAAATTATCGTACTGCGGGGAGGTGAAAATGAAGCATCGAGTCAATTGCTCAAGGGATCGGTGGTTTTATGTCTGCCAGCTGCTTTAAAAGTGGAGGATGTACATCTTCGTATGACTGGGCAATTGAAAGTTGGGTGAGTTCTTCCAAAGTATTTCGACATATGCAAGGGTTGAAAAACTAACTACCATATGCAGGTGGAATGATCAGCGAGTCACACCTACCGGTATTTCGAATAATCGAGTCGACAGAACTACTGAGATTTTCAGTCATAGATGGGCTCCCTTTGTGGGTGGAGCAGGGCCTGGGTCTTCCTCAAAAGGATTGCTTCTACCAGCAGGAAATTATGAAT